TGGGACCTGGACCTTGGGCTTTGGTCCTTGGTTCTTGGTTCTTGGCAATTGGACTTTGGGCTGGACTTGGGCGGTTGGGCTTGGGGCTTGGGCCCAATTAGTATATATCTTTTTACTGCAAATTTATTTGCAACTTTAGGCCCAAAATGATAAATCCAATTCTAGTTGAATTTGGACTCAGTTTTGACCCAACCCGAATGAAACCTCTCCAGGTACAATGAACATGGACATGTGATCTTTCATGTGGAATGTGACTGTTCAGGTGGATGTTAATGGCTGGTTAATGGCCTTAACACCTGGTTAATGGTGTAGTAACACCTGGTTAATGGTGTAGTAACACCAGAAACGTTTTTGGCTCATAAACTCTGCCTTAAGTGGCAGATGTGACTTCTGGTTTCCCTCAAGGAGTGGGAGTCCTATAAATAGGACTTAGAGCTGCAGTGAAACAACAACATTTTTTCATGCAATCTGATACTCTTAAAGCCTCACGCATCATATCATAGTGCTCGGTTCTCGACTTCATTCTTGTTCGTCTGGACTCTGAAGGCTGGTGTGCTACAGCTTCCGAGTGTTAAAGCCGTTGTATCTTTGGGGGCATTACGCACTAACCCGTCAGCACTACACGGGGCGTATTTGTCTTGCGGATAGATTTCAATCGCCTCGGCTTAAATCTCTCCGCGTTCGAGTTGTAATTTTATTTTGTTTTAGTTCTTCTTGTACGAACTGAACTTTTCAGTCAGTTCATAGGTTCCCGTTGTAATTCAAAACACATATTGTGTAACAGTCTTCTCTTAGCAATATCGTTCGATCCCTTGTTCAGCCTCATCCGTAATTTAATATGCTTAAAAACATTCAAAGTGCATAAAAACGCAAACAACGATAGTCTCTGCTCGAAAATGCAAGATAATGTCAACCATATGTCAATTGAACTCAAATGTTAAATTTAAATCTTGAAATAATCCACTAAATCGACACATATTTTTGACTTGTCAATTATATATTTGTCAAACTTCCTATTATGCAACTGTCATTTGAGAAGTCACACCCCAACTATCTCAAATATAGAATCGAATTTGAAATCTCTCTCTTGCAAAAAATCCCAAATTCATAACCACGGTTGTCCGAAATTCTTGCATTTTTTTAAAATAGTTTGAATAAAAGGGTCGATGGCGCATTCTAAAGTTGTTACTATACTTGAATGTTGAAGCCGATTTGAGGAGTATATCTTATTTTCGACAATTTAGGGTTCTCCATTTGCAGCGAAGTTCCCTCCGAAGACATATAAGGTACTTTTCTAATCCTCGCCAATCCAAGATAATGACATTGAAAGTCGATAGCTTCATTCCTAAAGTTAAGTGTTGTTAGGGTTTTTAGTCAAGTGTCGTACTTCTGATTTGGAAACTAATGAAAATCGATAGCTTCATTCCAAAAATTAGGGCTATTTATGCTATCTAATTTGGAAATTAGGGTCTTTAGTCATGTTTCATGCTCTGATTTGAAAATTTAGGTTTTCTGATTTGGAAGGTAGGGCTATTTATCTTATGCTATTTGTATGATGAATTTGCTGTCCTCGTGTGAAATTGTTGAATTTCTAAAATATTGATGCTATTTTTAGGAAGAATTGTGGTCTTTGTGTGACGTGGTATTTTTTCTTTGTTTAATTGTAAAAGTATGATGTGGTCCCTTTAGCATTTAGGTGTAGAGTAGTTGAACCTTTAACTTTAAGAGCAAAAATACATAGTTTTAATTTGCATATAGTATATTTTTATGTTGTGTTTTCTGATTTCATATTTTAACCTTATTATACTTGTTTATTTGCAGAATATGACTATTTTATTTGATGTTCGAGTTGGGAGAGTGATAAAATAGGTGCTTTTTTTTTTGTGGCCAAAGAATTGCAGTTGTCTACTATGATGTGAACAAGTTGTCCATGTTTGAGATTATGGATATGTACAGGAAGGCAGGTGGTAACACATCAACTTAGAAGTTATTTCACACAAGGTTAAAAGACTCCGCAAACAACAAATAAGATTATGATAATTTCTTGTGACAATAGTATTTGAAGTTGGTGAAGAAGTAGGAACTATATCTTCCCACTTTACATTTAAGATTTTCAAGGCCATATACAACAATTGGACATTGATGGGAATTTGATGGATTCACAAGAAGCAATCTCGCTTCTTGATCCATATACTCAAGAGGACATTCGTATACACATGCGATTTGGGGTAACTACACTAGGTCGACTAGACTAAAGAGACAATCGAACTGAACCTGGTTGATCATCAGATCGAACAAAGAATGAAGATTGTACAGGTCGAAGAGCTTTCAGGTGTAAAAGGATACTAGTGATGTTAATGATGCTAACGGGTCGAATAAATAGCCTTTGAGAGCTTGGTGGAAGCTAGGCCTGAGAGAGCACCTGGTCGATCGACCAGGTGAATGGGAAACAATGCTCAACATCGATGACGTTCCACCTCGAGGTATTCGGGGTCAGATGCACGGTTAGACAATCTAATGAAGAAGACTAGAGGATAAGAAAGATTATTCAAAGGATTAAATCCCCACATGGAGATGACCACATGACCTAACAAAATTGGGCAGTTGGGCAGCTTGAATAGTACGAATGAACAATCGGATTAGCTTACGCGATTGTAGATGGGTCTGCTCACGCGCCCATCTTTGGTAACAAGGTATCATCTCCCTATATAAGGGAGTGATGTATGCTTGAAAGCACATTACATTCTCTATTATACACTATTGTACAGAGATTCCTCTACATTTTATCTCTACACATACTCATACAAGCATTATGGTTCTTCACCGAGAACCCCCTCTAGTGTAAGAGTTCTGCAGGTTCGAGGACGTTCAACTGGCGATCGAGCTAGAGATCCAGTCCTTTCCAACCGGTTGGAGGTCTTTTGCGTACCACCTATATTATATGGAAACTATGCATTGATGATTTAGTTTTCTATTTAAATCTATATTATATTATTTCCATATATAGTAAGAGAAAAATGTTTTTGGCGATAAATGCTTTGTAAAATGAATTAGCCTTATTCTCATTTTATATATATAGATTTCTTATTGTAGACGTGATTTATATATGCTATAATTTTTTTTTCAATCTTTCTTTTAAAATTATAACAAATTTACTAAGTTAATTTTAAATATATTTAAAAGTTAATAAATTTTTTGTTTATTAATTTGTTTTATATTTATAATCATGTCTTGATAAACTTCAATTTGACCTCTATATTATACATACAAAATAAGTAAATAATTTTATTTATCTTTGCAATTAAAATTAAATTACCTATCAATATTAAAAAAAAAAAAATATTCAAACTAACTTAACTACAAAGTAATTATATGATATAAATTAAGAAAATATAAATAAGATGGTAAGTTATGTGAGTGACCACGTTATTTTAAATATAAATAACTATATATCTTTTAAAAAATCATTTAACTACAAATTTTTTAACAATACTTGTAGGAGAATATTAGATGACCACTCAATTATGCCGATTTCTGACTCTGATATATCGCATTCTTGGCTTTTATAATAACAACGAAGACAATCGGAATCTTATCGTCGTCTAAAAGTTCCGGCGACAGAAACTGAATAACAGTTGATCGCCGACCGAAATTACAGCAGCGTCTGTGCTAAAATATGGTCGGAATTTTCTCCAGATTTTCGGTTAGGAGTGGCCATCGCCGAGCTCAAAGTGCACTTGTGAGCGTCTCTCTCTCTCTCTCTCTCTCTCTGTGTAAATTTGTATGCTTTGTGCTTAATTTAATGTTCCCACCGCAGAGGTCTTGTGTAGTTTTGTTTGTATCAGATGAAGTCACTGATTTTCATCTGAAAAGCTGTTGCTTATCCAAGTGATTAATTTTGATGCTTCTTAAGTTGTTAAAAGCAATTTGGGATATTAGGGATTGTAGTCTAGTAGGCCGCTTGGTTTACCTGGATCTTTTCGGATCGCTGGGTCGAGAGTTAACTTTATGTTATGCTGAAATTTTTCTGTTGTAATTGTTTTCTAGCTTGATGGGTTTTATATCCTTATGAAGTATCATCTGGTTGACTGAAATACTCATCCTTTTCGATTGGATTTGTAATTTTGTGTATTGGGAAGTCGAATTGTCGATAGAGCTTGGTGTTCTCTGATAAAAATATGATCTCGAGACTTGACCCGATTTCCTCATCGTAACTTGCTGTGTTGCTTTCATAATGGGTGTTGTACTCCTTTAACCCATGATAGTGTCCTTCCTTGATTATATGAAAATCAAACTGCAGAATGCAATGAGAGATTGGTACTGAATAGGATTTTTTCCGAACATGTAGTCAATAGGTTTATTGATGTGGTTGTGGTGTATTTTCTTGATTTAAAGGACGAGAGAGAAGCATTGCCTCCAAGGTCTGAGGTGACCGCGAATTCAACTTTAGCTTCGTCAGCATCTACTGCCGCCCATGGTATTGATATTGCTGTTGAGTTTAAGCCAGTCGAGCGGCCAACCGAGCCACTTGACAATGATCAACCGATCCAATGTCCGCTGCCTGAGCCGTCAATCCTTAATGTGAGTTCGTGTTATCTAATAAACAATCAATGTCAATTATGCTTTGTGATGCTTCTCATGTCATCGATCATTATCTATTGGGGCTTCGTGTACCAGAGTACGTCTATGTAAATTAATTGTAATCTAGAGAGGCTATGAATTTGGGAAAGACCATTTATATAATGTTTCCAAAAGTTTGTGTTCTGACATGTATAGTTATTGGTTCCATATGTAAATTGTTAAAACATCCTTATTTTAGAGTTTCTATTTTTATATTAAGAGTTGATGGAAGGCGAAAAATGAAGGTATTTCGAGGCTGATCCATTTTTAACCTTTCTTCCTGTAGGGTCAGATAATTGTTTCTCGTGAGAAAATGAATATTTGAGTTTGATTCTTTTATTTGAACTGTAATAGTAAACACATTTATCGTCACATATTTGGTAATCAGGATGGAAGAATATGGAAAGAAAGAGTTTCATCAGGTGTGCAAAGAAGGGCTGATATGCCGACTGTGCAGGATCAAACTCCTGTCAGATCAGGGTCTCTCTCAAGAAAACCTCGCCCTTCTAACCGGGTTATCCTGCCATCTGTGAGTGCCCCGGAGCATAATATCTTAAAACTGCTTGACGAGTGCAATACATCAGGATTATAAGTTACAACAATTAAACATGGTTTTATTTTATTTTATTTTTTCGTATTTATTATAATGAATAAGGATGCCATTGTTCTGTTTATCAGGCGTACAATCCTTTTATCCTACACTGTATCTGTATTTATATGAATGATTAAAAATTCAGGATGGTGCTTTTCTTGACATTCACTAGTTATATCGTTAAAGTGGAAACCATACTTATGCTTTGCTTAGAAGCTAAGTGAGAATAACTTCAATCCAAATATCTTCGATTATTCGGGTAGGATTAAGTGGAAAGTTGAAATCAGTGAATAGGAGCATAATACCACTGGGTGATGTCTATTTCATGCCTTTCTGGATTCTGAAGGGCAAGGTTTGTGATCGACGGTATTTAATTTGGGGTTTATTGCACCAAATCCCCCTGTATTATACTAAATCTGCGCGTTTTCCCTCTGTATTTTAAAAATTGCGTCATACCCCCTTGTATTTAAGGTTTGCATGCGCGAAACCCCCTAAACCGTCTAAGATAAACCGTCTAAGATAACGGCAATGGAGTGCACGCGCGTGGTGTGCGACTTTTTCTCCATTTTTCCACCCCAAAGTTGCATAAATTACTGTTTTACCCTTGAATTATATGCAAAACTTAAATGGTATGAATGTGGGCAAACCGTCTAAGATAAACCGTCTAAGATAACGACAGTGGAGTGCACGCGCGTGGTGTGCGACTTTTTCTCCATTTTTCCACCCCAAAGTTGCATAAATTACTGTTTTACCCTTGAATTATATGCAAAACTTAAATGGTATGAATGTGGGCAACAAGAATTGAACCTGGGTTGGAAAGGAAGGGAATGGTCACCCAACCACTATGCCATATTGGTGGATGTATAACATATTGAACCTAAATATATTTATACATCATACTGAAATGAATTAAATAGTTTAAAAAAAAGTAAATAAATAAAATAAAAAGATATTTATATTATAATATAAATAATATATATATTATATTATATATTTATATTATAATATAAATAATATATATATATATTATATACTATGTATAAATAATATATTATATAATACATATAAATAATATATTATAATATATAATATATTTTATATATATCATTATATATAATCTATATAATATAATATATATATTATAATATAATATATTTTATATATATTATTTATATTATAAAA